AAGGATATTTATTTGTATAATTAAGGTCACACAGCTCATAGACTATAGTACTGAACAATAGATACATTCTGATTGTGTCTAATATTGGCACTCTGCATTGCATTTGAACTTCTTACAACTGGCTGTACATTTTTGTCCATTTTTTTTATTAAAAGAAGCAAAATAAAACAAACATTTAAATTTGTACACATTTCCACTTATATATTTACATTAATGTGAATATTAGTTAATTAAATGGGGGCAAACTTAAACATATATCTAAAAAAAAAATTCTTCTAAAGAATAAATTATAATCTTGATTTTGCTGAGGAATTTAATTTTGATGATCAATTGCAAGTGCATATGGGCTATGGCTATTAATTATATCTGGGATTCTTGTTTTTTTCTGGGAATTTTGGGCATGTGCAAGGCACGTGCTTCATGCTTGCAATTAAACAAAAGAAAAGGGAGAAAAGATTAATGTGATAATTCTTTTTAAAGTGTCCTTTTAATAATTTTAATATTGATTAATACGTTAAAACAATGTCCTTTTATAATATTGATTAGTAATGATGTGGAAATTAAATTAAAAAAATGCGAAAATGTGGTCCCGAGAAATTGGCGCATGCCTCAACAACGCACGTATGATACTATTTTTTGTACCAACTTGGTCATGCTTGTTTACATTAAGCTGTCACAATTATGATTTTAACTAATTTTCAAACACGCATTTAAATAAAATAATTAAAATAAATGATGTGTACTTGCAACAATAACCTAGTTGGTAGAGTAAAAGGCCACTCAAAATTCACTTCCCCATGACATTATTTTTATAAATTGAAGTTATTGATCAAAGCTTATCCTATACTCCCTCCGTCCCAATTTATGTGACGTTTTTTGTTGTTGCGCACATATTAAGAAAATCAATTAATGTGTATAGATTAAAGTAAAAAGCATAGAAAAATATTAATATATCCTTGACATTAATTTTTTTAGAACTAACTATTTAGGAGTGAGAAAGGGTAAAATTGAAAATGATGCATTGAAAATCTAAAATGACAAATAATTTGGGACAAGAAAAACTACCTAAAAAGACATATAATATGGGACAGAGGGAGTACAGTTTATACCTCTCACGTGATTTGTAGGTTATTGCACGAGAATATATTTACACATTTCGTATAATTAGCGGAGATTATTACTCTCTATGTTCTGCTTTTATATTGTAAGATTTTTTTTGTTTCATATTATCTGTATTAATTACAAATTTTTCAATTATGTCATTATTAAATCTGCAACATTTTCTTTGCATTAACTAGTAAACATGGGTATTTTAGTCTAAGAGTATCAATTTTCCTTAAATTAAAACATATTTATTGAGTTTCTTAAAATTTGTGTCAATGTGAAAAACGACACCCATTTAAAAACGGACAAAATATTAGAAAAAATAATGAAAAATGTTAGAGATCCCAAAGACAAAAACATTGAAAAATGTGAATGAAGGATGAGTGTATTGGAAGGCCCATGCCACCATTGAATTAAAACTTAAATATAATCAATTTTGTTGCACGGTTTGTAAGGGTAAAATGATTGCACTACTATTTCCAATAAATTAAAAGAATTATTAGTACCATTCTCTTATGTTAATTAATGTTTTTGTTGGGCATGTTTTGGTGAAACATTTGCAAGCACAAAGTGGGTTGGATTTTTCAATTGTTCCACGTTTTGATAGGTTTCATGATTTTTTATCAGGTGCCTATGATCAATCATTTGTCGGCTCCAATGTTGACTAGGTTTTGACTTGGGAGAACTAATTACAATGTTGTTATGTTACCCCTTTCAATTGATTCAAAATTATAACCAAAGTTGGGATTTTGAATAGTGTTAGAGTCGCAAATTTTCGTAAAATCGTAAGATTGTACGATTTATTGTAAAATTATGTATGTTCAGTATATATGAAATGGGCTTAACAACGAGCTAATTCCGTAATCAATAAAATGACTTGTTCATGATTCTTTCTTCGTTCGCATAGTTGACCGCCAATCACAATGGCTTCCTCCCGTGACAAATAATATCTTGGAAGAACGATATTTTAATAGAGAATTTGTTGGGTGAAAAAATATTTACCCATACTTTTTTAGGAAGTATAATTATGTTACTGGAGCTCTATTTCTTTATTGTAGTAGTTAAATAAAAAATTGAGTTTAGGAATTTTTAAATCTTAGTTTCGAAATACTTAAATTTTGGAAACGAGGGCATGTTAAACATAACCTAAGTGGCGGGTTGGATGTAAAAAAATTACAAATTATAATTTCTCGGGATTTTTTTATATTTGCACTTCACCTTAGGGAGGAAGTTGTAATTTAACCAAAATACATTTTTTTATAAACATATCTAATCGTAATAACCCATCTAAATATAAAAAATAATTAATACAATTGATAAATGAATACCAGTTCGGCTAAATTAATGGGCCACAAATTTAAAATAGAAATGGGCAGGGGCCGCGCGAACGCAGGCCCCCACAGGAACAAATAATGACGGAGGAACAACCACTTGGATCGACCTTAGTCACGCGCCCCTCCTATTTGTGCAATGGAGGTCACGTGCCTAGGCCATGGCCCTTCTTGTTCAGCCATAGACCCCATCCAGGTAAGTGGGTAATCTAATGTACCTTCAGCTCTTTAAATAGTGAAATCATCTTTGTTTACATCACTCTTCTACCGATGTGGGATTAGTTTAATATTGCAATTTCACTTCTTTCTATTGTGTTGTGTTTCAACCAACACCTCTGCTTAAATGTATGTATATATTGTTTATATACATACGTAAGCGTGGTCTATGAGTATGTGCTTCGATCAATCTGTTTCCGGAATATCTACTAATAAATGTTGTTCGATGGGGAAAAACAAGAAATTAAAACTACTATTGATCTTATAATTTTCAACTTAAGATCTTGATTAAGTAGATGAATAAATTGATATAGTTAGCAGCATTAGCAATTAAATTTTCTAGAAAATGAAGATTAATTTTATTTTTTGTTGGTTTCGACTTTTAACTGATGAAGGAATAATAAGGTGAATAAATTGTCAACCATGGTTTGGAAGAGTTACTACGGTTAACAACGCTTAGCAATTATAATAAACTAGAAGCAAGATGAAGCCAATTTTGACTACTGATGAAAGAAATTGTAAAGAAATCATCTACAATTCGATTAAATAATTCATAGATCCAAGGATGAAGTAAGAACCCTAATTTGAATGCAATAACAGCAAGTATTAAATCAAGCAATTGAACAAGAATGCTTTAACGTGGTTTGATTAGAATAATCTAAATTTACCGAGAGAGAGAGAGAGAGCAAAATCCACTACGAACGAACACAAACGATTACGGAGATAGAAGATCAAATACAAGAGACTAAAAATCTGCCCTACAAACCCTAACTCAGTTTCTGTCAGACTTCTCTTCTCCAATAGCAAAGTGCCAGCTCGGCAGTTAGTTGTTAACGGAATATGTCAGACTTCTTCTCCAAGTAAAAGACTCACTCTCACAGAGTTAACTTTCTTCACTTGCCACCTGGAACTCTTGAACAATCCAAATTAATGATGGTATATGCCATGCTATCACGGTACAGTAAGATAGATTCCTTATACTACCTAACACCTTTTTGTTAATGATGTTGATTAACTACTTATACTTATTGTAGAACTAAGTTGTTTTTGTAATAAAGAATGTATTTTCAAGCTTTGATGTACACAAGTGTAAACTGGTTTTGGATTTCTTCCTTAATTATCTTCTGCACACAACTGATATTTTATAATCAGTTGTATACTTATTTAGCGGTGCATTTCCATTTTAGATTTGTAAAGCTCGTACACGGATCTTGCTCTCGTGTAATGTATATCATCAATAACACAAATTAGAGAATAATAGAAAAAATCCCAAAAGTTATTTTATTAATAATATAGTAGACAAAGACATATATAAAATGGTTGGAATTTATAATGAAAGAAGATTTCTTAATTACATTTATAATTTGATATATTTCGTAAGAAAATATTTAACTAAGAATTGGTGGGGTGAGCCAGGCAAAGGCAGTAGTGCAACGCCAGAGCGACTCACGAGAGCCCCAGCAGCAAGCTGCAGTAATGGGCCCTCCCCCTTAAAAAATTAATTTAATATCGTGTGAGCCAATGGCTCACATATCAGATATTAAACTGATAAGAACAGATACTACACTTGATCTTAGCCAAAAGGCCGAGAAAGGTATGCTTTTTCCAGTCTTACAGTTCTGTTTTTATAGTCAAGCTTCTATTTAGACTAACTATGTTTTCTCGATGTGGGATGCTATGAAGAACTACTTTATTTTAAGCCTTACTTATATTTTGCACTTTGCTAAACAGTGAAACATACATCCCTGTTAGGCATTTCAGTTCTTTTGTGCCAAGCTCAATAATCTGGAATGCTGCTGACTCATTCAAGCAGTAAGGCGCCTACTTTTCGGGGCTTGGGGACCTCATTCGACTACAAGTAAATCAATTTACAAATCCAATCCCGATATAGCGTGTGCCCATATATATATCACCGGCTAATACGCCCTTTAAGGTTGCATTGCCTCCATTGACCTCTCAAGTGAGGAGACCTCCCATTGAGCTCTCAGTCACCTGTGCCCCGAATTCGGATTTGGATAGAATCATACCGAAATGTGAGTTTTTCTTTTGTTTCTAATAATGACTCGTTTCCTAAAGTTATAAATATGAAATCAAATACCACAACAAACTTTGGTATATGTCTAAGGTGGACATTGCAAAAGGCAATTGTGAGAAAAGTTTAAAATTGTTCATCTCTGAGAATTCAAGTATTTCCAAGTATCTATAAATTAGATTTAATCAGACAAAGTCAAAAGTTGTAACGAATAAACTAATTTCAACTTTTTTTTAAATAATTATAATAATAATCAATATTTTATTTATTACAAATTATAAAAGTGTTTTCAAACAAAATATTGGCTCAAAAATACTTTTAAACAAACAAGCAAAATACAACTAACTAACAACATTGTTTGGACTAGAAATGGGCAGGGGCCGCGCGAACGCAGGCCCCCTCAGGAACAAATAATAACGGAGGAACGACCACTTGGATCGACCTTAGTCACGCGCCCCTCCTATTTGTGCAATGGAGGTCACGTGCCTAGGCCATGGCCCTTCTTGTTCAGCCATAGACCCCGTCCAGGTAAGTGGGTAATCCAATGTACCTTCGGCTCTTTAAATAGTGGAATCACCCTTGTTTACATCACTCTTCTACCGATGTGGGATTAATTTAATACTGTAATTTCACTTCTTTCTATTGTGTTATATTCTTTCCTGTTCAGATATGTGGAGTTCAACACTATGTTTTTATGCATTGCCTACAGATTAGCCTGAACTCACCATTTCGATACTTCAGTGCTAATATTTAATATTTATAACCACACCACTAAGAAATGGAATAATATTCCGATACAAAAATGTGTGGATGGATCTAATCAGTATGTGCTTCATCACATTTATGTATCCTGCTACTCAATTTGGTTCCAATAATAAATGTTTTATGATAAGAAAAACAAGACAACTACTAATTAATAATTATATTTCAGTATATGAAACTAAAGAGCCTTACAAATTAAAGCATTAACCAGTTAAATTTAATTAATTGGTAGTTTTCTTACTTATTTTAAATAGTAAAATACTAACAAAATAATTAAACAATCAATTTATACCATATTATAATAGTTAACTGTAAAGTATCAACTAATATACATTGGGAATAAAAATTGTAATAACTATTTCGTAGATTTATAAATTTAAAACAAATGGAATTAAATCAATAAAAAATAATTAAACTAAGGTTTGGTGGGGTGCGCCAGGCCCAAGCAATAGTGCAACGCTAGGGCGACACTCGAAGGCCCAGATAGCAAGCTATCTTGTGGGCCCTCCCCCTGAAAAAATAAATTTAATATCGTGTGGGCCAATGGCCCACATATCAGATATTAAACTGATAAGAACAGATACTACACTTGATCTTAGCCAAAAGGCCGAGAAAGGTATGCTTTTTCTAGTCTTACAGTTCCGTTTTTATAGTCAATCTTTCCACTGAACCCAACTTTGTTTTTTCGATGTGGGATAATTCTACTTCCATTAGTAAGTCTTATATTGCACAACTATTAATTAAACATAAAACGATGATGATAAATATCCCAACATTTTGTGCATATATACATATAAAAAGAGCCAACAAGAATCCTTCAACATTCACTTAGGCCCAGTTTGGTTGGGCTGATCCGGGTGGATAGTTCCTCTAATCCACTCGGATCTCAGCTTTGGTTCGGCCCAATTGGGTTCTGGATTGCACTTGGGCCCGGGTCCGGATCTTGGATTTCCTGGATCTCCCATCAGACTAAAGGAGGTGAGATTGGGTAATCTCATCCACTCTCAACCCAATCAAGCTCAGTATATTACCTTTATGCCCTGAATATTTATTTCTAATTACAAGACTACCCCATATATATAGGAATTACCCCAAAAATTATTGAGTTAGCCCTAGAATTTTACCGACATGGCAATACACGCCGTTCTTCGTTCTGCTTTTCTCCACTGTGGTCGGTAGTTTTTTCACCGAGGTAATTTTTCCGATAATCAACTCATCTAGGTTCTCTAACACGCTTCTTTCTTCGTATTTTAGGCCCCCTAAACCGGTTGAAGAATAATCAACTCATCATAGATTGATTTCTTATTTTTCATACTTCACTAGTTTTTTCTTTTTTTTATTTGGTTTTTCCGATAATCAACTCATCACAGATTGATTTCACAGATTTCTTCAAACGCATCCGAGTATTGCTGAAGAAGTTTGGGTTCATATGGGTATCGATTTTTTTTATTGTTCTAATTATCCATTCCTTCATCTCGTAATTAAATTTCCGTTTCGCAGGTGATTTTCGATTTTGGTTTCGAAGTAGTTCGTAGTTTGGCCGGGCTGATTCTGTTCCGGCCGAACGATTCCGGTGTTGCAGCTGGTTGACAGTTGGCTGTCGATTATCCCGGTTCTGCTACACGACGATTTAAGGTGAGTTCTCCAATGGGTTTAAGCTCGTCTTTTAGATTACAGATTAAGGATTGAGAAAGGTAGCATTTATTTGGAAAAAATATTGTATCTTTTTTTTTTGGGAAAAAATAGTACATTAGTGAAATAATATATGGTGTTACTCAGTATAAATTGTTTGGCCTTAATATTGTTTGGCATAAACAGTATATAAAGAATGCAATTAAGTTGTTTTTTTTGTAATAGTTTACGATAGTTATTTCATCTTTGCTTGCTCTAGGAGTTGGTTTATATGTTTCATATGTTTGAGAGAGGTTACAGGGTCTGGAATGTGAAATTTAGTTGTGAATGTGTTTGAGAGAGGTTGCATGGTCTGGAATGTGAAATTTAGTTGTCAACGATCCAACGGTCTTTAACTCTATACTCGATGAAATCGCCGCCGAAATGCGACTCACTACGGTGAGACCTTTACGAATGACGTTGTTAAACGTCGGACCTTCCTACTAAAAAATCGTTTCAATGCATTTGTCAAATTCATTGGACTACCCGGTGTCAACTACAACCGTAGGACCGAACGTGTATCGGTTGACCGGACGTATGTCACGAGTCCAAAGAACAAAGTATGTAAACCTATTTTTATTGCATAAAATGCACGGTAAAATTTTTGTTGTCTTATTCTATGAATATGCAAATCATTTAATTGTGTATGACCCTATACTTTTCCCTTTCACAATTAGAAAAAAACGGAACATGCATTGCACAACTATTTCGCTGCTAACGGGTTTCCCTACTACGACACTTTTGAGTTGGTATTTGTGGAGAAAGAAGCAGGGACGATAGAGTTTAGTGATAAACAAGGGTTCGTAAAAGATGACCCAATCACAATTGACGAAGGAACTCGACCGGGTGTTGAGGGTGTGAACGATGAATACGCTATTGTGCCGTATGAGGGTGTGAACGATGTTGTGCCCGTGGGTTACTATACCGGCGAGACCGACGGGTTCTCGGGGCGTATAGATGGTTGACAGCGAGTCAACTAGCTTGGTCATTGTGATTTCTGATATTTTTATGACTTTATTCTCCGTTTACCGTATTTTTCATCGTTGTAATTGTTTTATTGTCTTCGTGTTTTTTTATTTTATTTCATAGTAATTGGTTTATGCAATTGCGAAAGTATCGTTGTGCTCGGTCATTGGTTATAGTGTGATCAATTATTCAATTATAACTTTAAATTCTATATGAACAAACATCTGTATCAACAAATTTAAACAAACAATGTTAAATATATAAATGTGTATTAACTAAGAAAAACAGTAGTGTGAACAAAATGTAAACAAACAATATTAATATATATTATCGCCCATGGGTACGAAACATGAAAATTAAAATTACAAACCAAAATACAAAGTCAGGAAAATCAAATACTAATACCGAAAATCTTGCCGACTACATGGAAGTGGGAAAATAATACGGGAAATACCAATAATAATAATACGGAAAATATTAGGAAAAACTAGCCGAGATAATGGAGATTGGAAAATTTGAACTTCCATTGATCAATGGAGTCAGTACAACACATGCGTCAAAGTATGACCTAGTAATCGTTTTCCCCGTCGATTGGCCCCTTGCCGTTACACATATTCGAGGGACGGTTTGACCCGGACGAACTCAATCCAAACAAATTTGCAATATTGCGGGGCCTCGGCATTGATTTATCTTTCGGCTTCAAAGGTGATGGGCCCGAAACCGGACGCCGAACTCTCGAATTAGCGGTGCTACCCTCGGTGTTTAACGAACCCTCGGAATCCGAAAAGTGATTGAGGTAGTCCCACACATTGAAGTGTGTGCTACTAGAATCCGAGGAAATATTGACCACCGTTGTTGGTGGCATCGGGTTACCGAAACCAAGAGTGTTGTCGTTGCCTCGAAGATCAACCATGCTTGGAATCGGCACCGGCGGAGCCGCTTCATCGTCGTCCGATGACAAAACAATCACCTCATCGCCCGGTTTTTGTTCGACGACACGGGGTGCAAATATAGTCTTTAGTTCCTCCCATTCGCTATCCCCATATGTCCGATATGCGAAAGCGAATGTGTGTGCCTAAGAAAGGAATGGAAATGTAATTATACGAAAATGTTAGGGCTGATTTTGTAATTAAAAGTGAATGGGAGGAAAAGAATGGGTGCAACATGTAATATTGTAAAAAATACTGGGGTAATATAATAATAAAAAGGGATTATGAGGGGTGGAAATGTAATTATCCGAAAATGTTAGGGCTGATTTTATAATTACAGGAAAATGAGAGGAAATAATAAGTGCAGTTGGCAATAATTTAAAAATTTCAGATGTATAAACTAATAATAAAAATACCTTCTAAGGGGTGGTAATGTAATTAACCAAATTATCCCACCCAATCCTCCCAACCATTCCTGAGATTGGCTCATTTGGATTCAATCCCACAGATCCATATCCAACCAACCAAACCCAAGATACCATCCATACTTTACTAATCCACACAGTGTCATTTTCTAATTAAGCCCCAATCCCATCCCACCCCATCCCTCCAACCAAAAGGGGCCTTATTGGAAACAATTCTTTTAGAATAGAAATTAACTAAATCTTCATTAAAATCCAAACCCAACCCCAAACTACTATCCCAATGCTTTACAACACTTTTGCCGGAAGTAAACTCCGGCCAAGGGCCGTTGCCGCCACTGTTCCACCGCCTCAGTTGCCCGTTTTCTGCCTCGTATTTGAAACAAATACGCGAACCCTTTACCCGAAAATGTTCGTCGACTTTATTTTGACGACATAAAGTCCCGATTTTGCCTTTGCCTTCTTCCTCCTCTTCTTCTTCTTCTTCTTCAGAATCAGTAACAACCACTTGTTGTTGTTCATGCAAATGATGGTTGATGGTGTGAAACGATCTCTTCATGAACATGGCGCTTAAACTTGCAACAACGGCGAAAATCAGAGCACACCATTTCGAAATAAATCTGCAAAAGATGGATTGATTTTTCAGGTATTTCATACTGATTACCTTCAAAGAGTTTGGTCTTATTATATTTATGATTATACAGATTATAGAAATGTTATAGCTCTGTTTGGAGTTAATTGCATAGACCCCCCTGTGTTATTTCTCGGAAGCAAAAAACCCCCCCGGAAAAAAAAATTAGCATATGACCCCCTATGTTGTGTTTTAGTCAGCCCACCGCCCCTTTGTGTGCACTGACTCGTTGACTTACGCGAAATGACAAAAATGCCCTTCAGATAAATATATCCAACCTCTAGAATTTTATGACTCAAATGAAATTTTCAAAATTTTCAATTCAGTCCCTAGCACTTTCAATTTAGCCCTCTTCTCCAATTGAAAAAAAAAAAACAACGCACACTTCAATTTTAATTTCTCAGCTCATAGCTCAACGGCGGCTGCAACGGCAGCTGTGTTTGAGAGGATTTTGCGATGGGCTTTGCTATTCGTCGGAGAATTCGGCGAAGTGTAGCTCGCCGGACCTCGATTGGCGACGACTTTAGAGAAGATCTGAACTCGCGGCGGCGGCGGTCGCTGGGCAACGTCGGAGAAGATCTCCATATTTCAGAGGTGGAATTCCCCTGCGAATTGATCTCCCCAGGACTCCGGCACACCTTCTCCACCAAATTAAACCCCTTCGGCGGCGGCGGATGCAGCAAATACTCCGAACCGTCGTCCATAACCCGAAACGGCATAAGCAAGTCCGACGTCTCGAATAAAAACGGATTCTTTTCATTACCGCCATGCGATTTGGTGAATTTGCAGGGGTTTGCTTTGGTTGGGAAAATCTTAGGGTAAGCCGTGAAGAGAATCGCCGCCGCCTCGTTGTAAGTCTGGTTCGGCCGTTTCCGAGGCGTCCGCGGCTTCCGGGTGGAGATTGCGAGAGGGCAGTTGCTGGATTCAGAGAGAGTTGATGAAGGAGAAGATGATGTTGAAATCCATGGAGGAAGGGGGGTGGGGATGGAGGAAGGGGAGTGGTTCAATTATTTGGGGAAGAAGACGATTTATTCTTTTTTTTTTTTCCTGTATTCTTTATATTTGTTTTGACAATTTTGATAATTACAATTTAGTCCTATAACTTTAGATTATTTATAATTAAATCAATCTGAGTTTTTTTCCTCTTACAAAGGGTTTTTATGTCTTTTCCTGTCCTAAAATGTCCTAAAACGCACGCCCAGCTGCATGAACCGCGAGTGTATCCCACGATTCGCTCGTAGGGTCCTTATTGTCATTGACTTCCTTTCATAGGGGGGTATTTGCTAATTGTTTTATCCGAGGGGTTTTTTTGCCAATTAGAGATTTCACAGGGGAGCCGAGTGCAAATACCCCCTCTGTTTGAGATGGTGAAATGTGTAGCAGTGTTATATATTTATATACATACAATTAATAAAAAATGAAAACAAAAAAAAATCAATAACTTAATATACAAGTCAATAACTTCTGCTCAAATTATTCAACTTCTGCCAAACTTATCTCAAATTAAATCTCAATGTATGTATGTTATTTTTCCAATACTTGAAGTAAAAGTGGTCGGAGCATTACAAAAGTCAATAAGGGTTTTTGCAGAAGTCGTCGTCACCGAACAATTACTTAGATTTGCGGGGTAACTAACTGACGAACGAGCCAAATCTTTCATTCATTGTTTGCAAGTCTTGAGAAATCCAATGAAATTAATGAGAGCAATAGCGTTAAACATGTCGTTTTCTCTAATTCGAAAAAACCATAATGTGTAATAAATACGATTTCTCGTAGATTAATACAATTTAATGTTTTTAATCTCAACATTTGTCCATTAATAACTGGCGACAAATCCAGATTTCATATCATTAATTCATCATTCCCCTGTTATTCTACACTGCAAATTCTTGATAAAAATTAGCATACATATACAATATTTGTATATGTATATATATTTATTTATTAGCATTATTATCAGTAAAAGGAAGAAGAATATATCATGGGAACTAGTGACATACTATTGCCATTGTCACTTTTAATTGGAATAACAATAATTCCATTTGCATATGGCTGGGGGTATGATGGTCATATAGCCATTTGCAGAATTGCTCAGGCTTGTCTTCTATATATATACACAACTTTTCTTTTTCATTTTTATTTATTTTAATTTTTTTTTTCCGCCGTTTAATTTATAACGTTGTAATAACAATATTTGACAGGCGCGCTTAAGCAAAACGGCGTCACTAGCCGTTAGACGTTTATTGCCAGCTCATGCAAACGGGGACTTAGGAATATTATGCCCGTGGGCCGATAGAATCAAGATGCATTATCCGTGGTCGGCCGATTTGCATTTCATCAACACCCCTGATAATCTTTGCGCCTACGATTATACCAGTTAATTAATTAGTATTATATATAACTCCATAATATTATTATTAATTTTTTTTGTATAAATAATTTTAATTGATGCAATTAACAGGGGATTGCAAGGGTAGAGATGGAGTGAAAAACAAATGCTTAGCAGGAGCAATCAATAATTACACCACTCAGCTGATTAACCGCCACGTTAAAACGAATCGATGTAAATAAATATTTTATGCATATAAAAATTTGATCTTTAATTTTTTTTAATCAAGAATTAAGAATCGAAAAACTCGTAATTAGCTTGTTATATATCCACATTGCAATCTCAGATAATCTGACTGAATCACTGCTCTTCTTGTCCCATTTTATAGGAGATATTCATCAGGTATATATATTTATATGTGACCAATCATTTAATTATAATACATTTGTGGAAAAAATGCATATAAATGAATTAAAATTATTGCAGCCATTGCACGTTGGATTTACGTCGGACAAAGGAGGTAACACGATTAGAGTGACTTGGTTCACCAGGAAACAAGTCCTTCATCATGTAAGTTGATTTTTATTTTATTTTATTTTTATTAATGAAATAATTACCATTTTTATCCGTTCTATTTTTTACGAAAAAAAACAATTTTTGGTCTCGTTTTTTTTTGTTGTCGTGCAGGTATGGGATACCGATTTAATCAGAACAGACGAAGGAGGATTTAATGCTTCACTTCTGAATAATTTCATTAAAAAAATTGAACAGGAAATTACAGAGGTGTGTGTATATATGTATATATATGTATGTATGAATATACATTTTCTTGGTAATAAACACATTTTCCTTTGACAGAATAAATGGAGATATCAAGTAAATAGGTGGGAGGCTTGCAGTAATAATCAGACAACATGCCCAAACATGTATGTCACATTTATAAATAAAAATAAAATAAAAATAAAATATACATAAAATAATATTAATGCTCAAACTTAAGTTATTATACATAAAATGTGTGAATTTAATATCAGATATGCAGCAGAGAGTATTAAAGCAGCTTGTGATTGGGCTTATAAGGGGGTGCACCGTGGTTCAATACTCAAAGGTTTTTTTTTTTTTTTTTTTTTTTTTCTTTTTTTT